TTTTGATAATTCATAAGTTGGGGTATTTCTAAAATCTACTATTGGCCTTATTGGGTATCCTGGCTTATGTATTTTAATAGTACCATATAATCTACTAGCATTATTAGTTTTAGGCATTAAGTTAAACCATTTAGACTCACCCAGTGACGGCTTCATTCTGCGTATTAGTTCTGTTGTAGATTTCTTAACCTTATTCATTATTGTATCTACAGGCTTCTTAATTTCCTCATATGGACCCGTTTGAATATGTTCAATAACTTTTTTGATATAGTCAGATTTATTCAGAACTACGGTGGCGTTTCCTTTATCAGCTTTTGCAATGACAATATTTTTATCCTGTTTTAAATTAATTAAAGCTTCTCTTTCCAATTTTGTTAAGTTTGATTTTGCCTTCTTTTGATTTTTCAGGGTTAATGCACATTGTGCTCGAACCCCTTCTGCTGTTGTCTTATCTATTGAACCTAGCGCTACTTCTATGCTAGGAATGACATCCTCTGGTCTTAATTTGTTAACTGTTACATTGAAATTTAGTCCTTTCTCAAGTACTTTTATCTCACTAGAGCTTAGTTCTTTTGATGAGAGGTTGATCACCCACTTTGTTCTGTCGATAGAGGATGAAGCGTTGACATCAATTTTATTTGCTGTGTTCCTTTCTTCAATTAGTTTGTTGAATTTTTTGATTTGTGTGGCTTTTGATTTTCTTGATGCTGATTCTCTAGCTTTTTCGGATGTTTCAACAACAATTACATAATCTTTGTCATTGACCATACATTTGAGTTTCCGTTTGAGTTTTTCGATTTCATTTCGTATATTATTGAGTTTCACAGTAATTCGATGTAGTTCTTCTCTTAAACATAATCTACTGAGATGTTCAGCTGCTGACGATATTTTTCTTGAAGTAATTGGAGTGCGTATGTGTAAATATTTTGGAGTTATATGATTTTTCAAACATCGACTGTTGAAAATCCGATGGTTCGTGAATCTTGCAAATACCAGAAATATGGAAGATATTATTACCGCCAGTCAAATCAGAAGCGGATAATAAATAATCTTAAATTGTATTCTATTTCCATTCAAACACATCAAAAACATTCTATCAATCAACTTATTATGACTGTAAAAACACTCGTTGTATTTCCCATCTAATTGCAATGGATTAATAACATTCGTACTATTATTTCTGAATGTACATTATCTCATATTGAATTTTATTCCAATATCTAGTCGATTCCACACATGTATATAAATGAAATAAAGAAGTTGTGTGAGTAACTTGATATGATTATGAGCAATAGTTTGTGCTCGAAACGTCATCAGTTAATATAACTGTACTACACTGTGTGATTTAAAAATAAATTCTTATCCATTTGGAATTATACTCTACCACAGTGCCCAAGTTTTATACTTATATCAACCAAGTCTCTATCCGGGAAGAGATCAACACAAGTGAAACCTATAAAAGACAACCAAGGGAACCCAATTACCAAAGAAGAAAGACAGATTAAACAATGGGCGAACCACTTCAAAGGACTCTTGAACCGACCACCACCTACAACCCGTCCAGAAATACCAACAACAGCACGTACACAACTGCAAGTTGACACCAATCCTCCAACGAAAACTGAAGTTATGAATGCAATCAAGCTTCTGAAAGCTGGAAAAGCAGCTGGACCAGATGGAATACCCCCGGAAGCACTGAAAGCGGACCCAGAAACGACGGCAGATATGCTGACCCCATTATTGCAAAAGATCTGGAAAGAGGGAAAGGTGCCTACTGACTGGAGGAAAGGTTACCTGGTGAAACTACCAAAGAAGGGCGACCTGGGACTCTGCAAGAACTGGCGAGGAATCATGCTCCTGTCGACGCCAAGTAAAATCCTGAGTCGCATCATCCTGGAGAGAATCAAGGACGCGCTGGATACAGAACTCCGACCAGAACAAGCTGGATTCAGGAAAGGCAAATCATGTTCTGACCAAATTGCAACTCTACGCATTATCATCGAACAAAGCATGGAATGGCAATCAAATCTCTACCTCAACTTTATAGACTTTGAGAAGGCCTTCGACAGCGTTGACCGCGAAGTAATTTGGAAACTACTCGAGTACTACGGCGTACCGCAAATATTCATCAACCTTATTCAACAACTGTACGACAACGGCACATGTCAAGTGATCCACAACGGAAAACTCAGCGAAGCGTTTGGAGTAAACACAGGAGTCAGACAAGGGTGCTTATTATCACCAATGATATTCCTAATTGTGGTGGACTGGATTATGCGTCAGACAGTGGGAAACGAGAAGACAGGGATATCCTGGACCGACGTGAAGAACCTAGAAGACCTGGATTTTGCGGATGATTTATGTTTGATGTCACACAAAATCGAAGACTTACAAGCAAAAACCGACAAACTGGTCGAAGAAGCAGCAAAGACAGGACTCCAGGTGAACATAGACAAGACGGAGGTTATGAAAATAACCAACCAACAACAGCAGCAACATCCAGTGCCAATCACCATCAACGGGAGGGATTTGAAAGAGGTTACTTCTTTCACTTATCTGGGGAGCATTGTCTCAACCACAGGAGGAACGGACGAGGATGTCAAATCGAGAATCGGGAAGGCGAGAAACACATTCATCAACCTGAAACCAATCTGGAAATCTTCGTCACTCACCATCAACAACAAAATTCGGATTTTCAATACAAACGTCAAGTCAGTATTGCTTTACGGATCAGAAACTTGGCGGGTCACCAAGAATATTTTCAACAGGTTGCAGACCTTTATCAACAACTGTCTTCGCTCCATATTGAAGATTAGATGGCCAGGAAGAATCACAAACAAGAAGCTATGGGAACAAACGAAACAGGAACCAATCGCCCAACAAATATGCAGGAGGAAGTGGAGATGGATTGGACACTCGCTGAGGAGGCCGTTGAGTGACATCGCGCGTCAAGCCCTCGAGTGGAACCCGAAAGGGAAGCGGCGAGTGGGACGTCCAAGGGTGACATGGAGGAGATCGTGTGAGGAGGAGATGAAACAGTATGGAATAACATGGACGCAAGTGAAAAGAACAGCAGAAGACAGAAGCAAGTGGAGACGTGCAGTTGAAGCCCTATATTCCACTAGGAACCCAAGGGAACAATAATAATAATAATATCTATGGTTTAACTTTCCGTTGATGTTTACAGAATAATTTACTCTGTATTGGGAATAGTAAAGGTTGTTGTCATCGCAGTTATCTCAGTTAAACCTGACATCTGCGTGTTAACTCAGCAAGGGAGAATATTTCCAAGTGTTCAGTTGCTTACAGTGTCGTGACTGGAGGCTCATTCTAGTCAAGTTAGACAACAACCAGAAAATCACTAACACTTCGTTACAACACCATACAATACTTTCATTCGAAAACAAAGTTTTGAACTCTGTAAACGATTTTGCCAAAATCTGTACATATAATAAATAAATAGGAATAAAGTAAAATTTAGGAACTATCGAGGATTTCTGAAACTTGTAAACTTTACAAAGGTCCTCAAGATCTTTATACACAAGCCAGTTTTCATGATTATATCTAAAGAGACAGTTTGAGGCTGATTGTTTAAGTAGCTTCTCGTCTTAAAATCTCAAGTTATCTAGAGGCTATCCCAATAGCTATTTTACCTTCTCAAACCCTCACTACTTAATGCAGGCTTACAAACCTAGACTTAATCCAAATACGACTCTTTAAACTTTTAATCAAATTAACGATGTTTGAGTACACACTAACAATGAGCTATTGGGTGGACATAAAGACTGCTATGAAAAATTAGTCCCATGTCTTATTTAAAGTGGAAAAAGTAGTTATCGGATGCAAAGATAAGTAAAAAGTAAATCCAGGGAGGCCATATTCAAGTTTACAAATATGGGTGAAATATCGCTGATAACTACTTTAGTCAGCCAGTTAAATTACTGTAAAGCAGGATCTTCTTGGTAATACGAAATGACCTAGTGGATATTTCAGTAGAATAACAGAAGAAATGCTTTCGAAATTATGTCACTTGGTTAGCCAACCTGAAGTACCTGGAACTCAAATGGCAAAAATTTGTTAACGGTTTTCAAATAAGGCATCACTTACAAATTGATCGACGAAAACTTAGGGGGCAAAAGTATCAAAACGGTGTACTGAAATATAATGACGTGCGATGATTAAATAATGAAATAAAACGTTTCTCTGTGTTTCATACTGCACTGAATGAGAGCTATTTGTTTTTATCCCATATACAAAGAATGCAAATCACACACCGAACACAAGTCTCACACATATGAAAATGGTCTTCTTCATGGTTATTTATGCTCCTGCTTATATCAGTTTTACTCGTTCACCTTCATTACATCGTACTATTCTATGTAACGTATATTCAAATGAGCTTAATTCCATTATGATCTCATTAAAACAAGAACAGAATCTGAGTATTGTGGTATAGTATAATTCCATCAAAACATAATGTCATTTAATAAAATACTTATACCATATGATTTTGGTAAGATTATGATCACTGAACTGTACTCGGAACATCATCACTAAATGAACATTGTTACATCACTGTGTGTTTTATCATATAAATTATTCTATTATGATACCACTATGTTCTAAATAGTGCGCCGGTGGCACAGCGGTAGAATGCTGGCCAACTACGTAGGTGGTTCCGGGTCCAATCCCCGGCAGACGCACTGCTTTACCCCGCTAAGCCAGTAATAAGAGCGGTTAAGAGGGAAGATTGGGCATGAGGCTAGCAACCCCATCCCGTAAGAATAAATACCACTGCTATCCAAACTTCAAAGCTATAGCTTGAAGCCTTGTGTTGCACTGGGAACGTAAAGGAATACAAAAAAACTATCTAAATAAACACAGGAATATTTAAATTAAGTCTTTTACTACTTTTATTGGTATCAGTAGCCTAGAAATAACATGTGAAATATTAACCAAGTTTGTCGTAGAGAAATTATAATTTAAAACAACTAACAAACCTTCAGATCAACTTGCCCTCCGTAGCCGACACGGTAAACATTACGCGCCCCACTGTCCCAAGCAACTGTGGCTGCTGACCGTGGAGCCCAATTATACCAAGCTTTTCTGCTTGTTATTCGACCTTGTGTAGGTAAGACGATAGGGTCAGAAGATCCATTATCATCCGAGTTAAGGCTGGTTCGACAAGCACTTCCAGATCCCAACATGATCGAAGCACTGTTTGATGAAGTGAAGGGCAAAACGCAGTCTTGGTTATTCCAACTCCAGTCTATGCCACGAACAACACGAGCTTTAGGAAAGAGGCCCACTGATTCTATACGCCTCTGCCTCATTCGTCGACCAACAATGACTCTGTTGTGTAAACGTAAAACAAATGTTTATATTCAGAAAAATTAATAAATGTCGAAAGAATGTTCAGACAGAATATTCTTTTCGATAACTTCCTCGTTCATAACGATATTTATATTTTTAAATAATATCCAGTAGTTAAGATCAGTGGAATTACTGTTGAAAAAAAGATGTGTAAGTGACAATAGGCATAAAATTTAATACTAAACTGAATATCAGGTAAAATTAAGAAAATATGTACAACAGTTATGTGAAGGTAGTTAAAACATTGATGGCCAAGATAAGGAAAGCCTCTGAACAAACTTCTTTTGAACACATGAGTTAGTCATATGCAAGTAAAATTTTTATAAAACTAATCCAGTTAACTTTTCAATTGATAATGCCAATCTGGTAGATAATTAGTAGTATCCTTAGACGTTTTCTCTCTTTTCTCTTTTCACTAATGTTTCACTAGAAGTAACTGTCTGTTTTCATTCCGGTATTTTCATTGTTGTAACATCAGATACGGTAGGCATTTGCTAAGAACTTGGACAATCCAGTAAAGTATTGTTTTGTAACAGATTAATATGTTTCATACAATACACAATGAAACAATAATCTTCAGTGAACGACATTTCGAGTGCAATTTACTTCCTAAAAACACACTAATGTTACAATATAACTTTCTGACTGTCGCTACAGTTCCATTATTCATGATTTCACTTAAAATCTTGATTTGAAATAAATAATTAATGTCAATAAACCGTACAAGAAAACATTATTGCACTCTTCCTCACCACTTATGTTGCATATGCAAGACTCTCACTCGGTTAAATGTAACCAGTTATAGACATAATTTACAAAAGCATATTTAGAGAAAACAACAGATTGAGCGAAGAAATATATTCCTTTTCAATTAGTTCCTCATCAACGACTCTACACTAATACATAGTTTTTTCAAGTGTTGGTTTGTAGGGATTTGATTGGTTACAGGATTTAATCGTGAGCTGACATTGGTTCGAGAACCATTGGAAAACCTGGGAGTACTGGGAAGATGTTTCGTCCTTGTTTTTTAGAGTCAATTTGATGTACAGCCCCTTTCTTTGCTGTGGCCAACTACATAATATGTATTAAATTTTTTGAAAACGAGGTTTTCCCCTCACCTTGTAACTATCTTTTGACTTTGTTAATTTTTACAATTTTTATACTTTTAGCTAATTCTATTAACTTGTTTGTATTTTACGTAACTCATCATTCTTCTGAGTCATCATTGCATTTTACAAATTTCTTGATTATGTAATAACTTGTTGCCAACGCCAAAGAATCAACTTATCTTGAATTCCATAATTAATTTTCACCTCTCTTTTAAAACTTAGATATCTCGTTACTAATATCTACTAGTTATTTGTTTTGATGACCTTTAACCCCTTGATTTCACCCCCGCCTATACCTACAACTGATTAACTAAAATAACCACTTGATTAGTAAAAAAATTTTGATGTAAAAAACTACGTATTAGCGTAGAGCCCTTGATGAGGAACTAATTGAAAAGGAATATATTTCTTCGCTCAATCAGTTGTTTTCTCTAAATGCACAAGTGGGAATTTGGAAATTAATGAAATCTTCTGAGAAACATATTTACCTTATCTTAGAGTGATAATTATCAAAATCATTACTTTGGTCAGTATCTTTCCATGGGTAATTTTTATGTTCGGCTCAACATTAGTCTCTTGTTTTCATTCGTAATCAAAAACCATCAACGTCACTAACCTTACTGACCCTGAATACTTAAGTGTTTCAAATCTTACGATGAAATACACAATAATGATTACCCTCGAGGTTTGCGAGCCATCTTAAGAATGTTTAAACTTTTTCTCTATCTGTTGTAAATATTTGACCAGTAACTACTGAAAACAGTAACTCCGTATAGCTCATACATTCAGATTAAATGAATGCAGATGTCGATTAAATAAAAGAGTTAAACTATGGTTCTATGAAGGGCTACTGGAGAAGCCAGATTACTGATACTGCTTTGAATCATAAATATACTAAGAAAGAACATGGAACACTTATCGATCACCTGAATTTTGCCCCATTTACTGAATAGTAATGTGCTGGTTGATGAAACTCTCTTCAAATAACTTCGGAAACGGGATCATATTCCTGTTCAGTTTCATTTTTTGAAGAAATAGCTAGCTGCTCTGTGCTTAGAATTTGTTGTGCAGACAAATATGTCAGGTTAAGTAAAAACCCTCAATCGAAGACATAGCAATTAAAGACTTCTGAGAACAAAAAATCAGTGTTCGAAAATTATTAGTCGAGGTTCGCCTTATTCCCATAGACGAGGTAGAGTTCAAAAGTATACTAATAAGTGAAGGATCACTACGAAAAGAGATATTAAGAAGTTGTAACTGAAATATACTTTAAAAATATTTAACTGATTACCTTGTTTTATAAGGTGCAGTGATACGTAAAAACTGGTGGGCCAACGAATGCTTATCGCCATGATAACAAGTAGAACACAGATCTGTGTTTAAACACACTACACATTTCCATCTAATCCCATATATGGGAGACTGAAATGAGAATTTTAAAACTGAGTTAGTCATGATACTTTTAGAAACAAAAATATAATAAGCGGTGAAACGTAGAACAAAACAAGATGAACTGTAAAATACTTAATGAAATACTCACTCAAAATAACATCAAACGAAGACTCATACCAATAGCTAGATATACTCAAAAAGCTCATGAGCGAGCAGCCTAATGTAGTAAAAACCATAGGTGCAGACGAATGATAAGCACAAAACTTAGATTCGGGGCTTCCTAATGTGAATTAAAACAGCTATCCGATGGCCAGTCACCAACCTCGGTGACCAGATCGCAAACTTGCCTGATTGCATTAAATCGGCACCAAAAATAAGGAACGGATGCATGAAATTATTTACTGTCTAGCGACTAGTCATCAAGCACCCTACAAGAGGTCAATCATGATGTCAAATAAGTCGGTGGTGGCGTCTATGTATGTAGTACTGGGTTCACAGTTTCGAATCTTCGAGGGAACATCAATTCCTTTGAGGTTTCGATAAGCCTACCTGATAAGGGCAAATAAGCACGAAACCCAAGTGTAGGGTTTCTTGTCACTTGCGCGCTACCATATGATATCACATGAGGCTCGATGCACAAGATGTAGTTGTCCTAGTTCATTTACTAAACGGATAAAATGGGGATTCCGAGGTGTTGAGTTAGCGAGTATTGATGAAGGCTGCTACCCACTAGGATATAGAGTCATCCATTCGGGGGGTAAATAAATGAGCTAAAGGTAAATGCACGCTATTTATAAATAATTGAGTTAAGTTATTCAGTTAGTAGGGATTTGATTTTTTCTGAATCCCTTTATATCACTAAATAGGTACAGTACTGAATTCTAGGCTTGAAATGGACATTTGGTAAATCACTGATACATCATCAACCTTGGAATTTGTTAAGATGGTAATATTTTTCTGGTGAAAATAGGGAGTATGCTATGCTAACCTACTGATATTTCAAGAGTATCAGTGTTCAAGTTTCAACCTTAATGCTGCATGATAATATACGTATAGTAAAAATTGGTGGAAGCATATTAGAAATGATAAATGACCTCTTACTTTACTAATGTTTCAACCGATAACCCACCATAAACTAAATCTCTGCTATCAGAAAATATTTACGAATTCTCCACTTGTTATTATAGATTAAAATATATAATACGTATAGGCCAACACACGAGATAGACAAGTCGAATAGTAGCCAATAAAGAGCATTGACTTCTTTTTCTATATATCATATTTCATATTATTCATCCTCTCTATTGTCTAGTAAATAAGCTAATCGATTGATATAAGTAATACTCCTATTTCTTACTTGATTATTAAATTGCCAAAGTTGCATTTTATTTTTATTATCAACTACATAGACAAGTAGAAATAATTCCAATCCTTGAAAACTTGTTCGTTTGTTATAATACAGAGTCATAGCCTCTTCTTTTCCAACCTATTATATTCAGGGGCTAGTTTTTCTCATTATAAATCCATAAAGCACCGAAATGAAAACCACAATAATGAACTGGCTACTTCCTCGTCTTATTATTTAACTAGCTATGTAAGTGATTACTGTTGTAGGGGGGAAAACAACCCTACATTTATTGATTAGAACTTATCGCTTGTGTAATGACCCTTTGACTTTTGACCTTTGTCGATGTTTTACTGCTTGTATACGACCAAATTATGTAATTTACTCTTCTATATATATAGTAAATTCTCTTAGCAACAAGAGGAATATTTTGCAATGTGTCACTAGAATTTCAAAAAAGGGTCGAGTTAACAACAGTAGTAATAATTCTTTTGTGAGCAGTAATCACACTTTGAAGAACTAAGTCAACCAGACTACTATCATGTTGATTATGTCACACATTTGACTGAATAACCATGATACGGTTGAGTGGTTATTTGATATACAAAAGTAAGAGTGACTGACAATGACTCACCCACTGAGTAAACACTACTCATGAGAAAATTGCGTCACTCTCATAAGCTCTAACTGAACTCAAATGACAATAAAGAGAAAATTTTGGTCAATATCAATCCTGAACTCTGCATACAAAAGTTTGTTCAGTCAGTAAATCTACAATGAACCTGATCTATCTTAACACCAAATACGTAATTTTCGTTTTTTGTTTCTTAATCGTATTATTTTCTTACACCAGTCCCTATTAAATCTCTACCCCTTATTACCACTGCTGTTAACTTGACCCTTGTTCAAACTTTTTTTGAATTCTACTCAACCCCGTCACTCAACTTACTTATTTAATTTTATTTTCGTTTACGCCCGATTAACGTTTTCTATATTACATAATTTGTTATCTAAAATTTACAATTCTAGTGACACATTGCAAAATATTCCTCTTGTTGCTAAGAGAATTTACTATATATATAGAAGAGTAAATTACATAATTTGGTCGTATACAAGCAGTAAAACATCGACAAAGGTCAAAAGTCAAAGGGTCATTACACAAGCGATAAGTTCTAATCAATAAATGTAGGGTTGTTTTCCCCCCTACAACAGTAATCACTTACATAGCTAGTTAAATAATAAGACGAGGAAGTAGCCAGTTCATTATTGTGGTTTTCATTTCGGTGCTTTATGGATTTATAATGAGAAAAACTAGCCCCTGAATATAATAGGTTGGAAAAGAAGAGGCTATGACTCTGTATTATAACAAACGAACAAGTTTTCAAGGATTGGAATTATTTCTACTTGTCTATGTAGTTGATAATAAAAATAAAATGCAACTTTGGCAATTTAATAATCAAGTAAGAAATAGGAGTATTACTTATATCAATCGATTAGTTTATTTATTAGACATCCTAGAATGTAATGCTTGCAGTTGTTGACCAAAGTAACTTTTGGTACTGATGAAAGTGTGCCACTGAGGAAAAGTAAAATCTAGTTAATTTCAACTAGGATAAATGAGGCAAAATGCCTATCGATGAATTTATGAAACCTTGGTCGGTGTATGACAATTGCTGATATAAGCTTGACTTATATTTAGACAAATAAATTGGATAAAGTGTTAAAGGATGTTTCCTTACATTTGGGAGTATTTAGAATTACATTCTGTGGGTAAATAAGCCAATCTATTTAACTCATTACGAACGTTATACATAATCACAAACCCATAAAATAAACTCGAAATAATAAGTGTTGAAGTGAGTGAAGAGTATACGTTTATACTACATAAGAGCAAACTGTTATTAGAGCCTTAGGAATTATTGAAGCTTTAGAAATAACAGTTACATATCGAAAAGAAAACAACTTCATGTCTTACCTCATGACAACCTTCACAGACGGTTCCAGGATGCCTTAATCCCGTTGGTGAACTATCTAATACACGTAAATCAAACCCTAGAACACCGCAGCGGTAATTCGCTACTATCCCGGAATCCCAGACGACAATAGCTTCTCCAGATGTATCGAACCTTTTGACTGAACCAACATGTCCTTCTCCTCCGTCCTAAAATTAAATCGCAATGAAAAAAGCACCTGGTAGTGATAGTTTTCCATACTCACACTCTCTCTACAAAGAAATTCACACAGCACCTGAAATATATATATTTGCAGAAGATTTATGATTACTCTTTTAAACGTATTATTTAATACAAAGTGTGGTAAATCACTCATTCATTTAAGACAATACATCTTTAGAACAATGAGCTTTGCCCAGCAGTGAGGCGAAACTTAGAAGAAATTTAGATTATAGCCCTGTCGATTCTTATTCATTCACTGGCACATCTTTTCGTGTATTACAAGTTCACTTTAGCCCAACAACTGGAGACAACATAATTCACTTGTGTGCAGCAAAACCTCAGATAAATTCCTGTTAAAAAGAGACTTTACGTTTAGGACATTCAACTAACTGCTTTTAACAATAAAAATTAGCCTTTGCCGGACTTTCTATACCCGTGTTTAGCGTAGAAAGGTTATTTACAAAAATGCGAACATCATTCAAAAATTAGACCTCTTCAAACTAATAACTAAGTTTTTCATCAACCAAGTAAAATAATTATCTTGACTAGTTTGTCACAGATGTCAAGCCAAGTTTGCTACCTCACTGAGCCAAATGGAGACACAAAGCATTTTTTTTTGACCACCTTGACTTCAACGTATACCACATCAAATAATAGAGTGAAAAACATTACGAACAAATGAGGAAGACATATGGCAAGCTGAAAATTATGAAAAATTTAAATACCTTCATATTCATATCTATTTTAGCTATTCAAATTACATGTTCCAAGTTTTATGAGAATGTTTACAATGGCTAATTTGCAGACAGAATGTAAACGGTAACGTTACTGCTGACCATGTTGCTCCATCCTACACGAGAGACTAAATACAGTGACTCATGAACGAAAATAGCTAACATTTTCCTATCTTTCACTTTAAACTCTTAAAACTTAGTTATTCTTCTTTTACACCTAATGTTCTTTATTTGGATGACAGCGAAAATAATCCCAAAAAAATATACCTAGCACATGAAGACAGAAATGCGAAAAGTACATACTTTGATAACCTGGTCAGGCAGGCAATTTTACAAAGACTTTGAGGCTAGAAAATCGCGTAACTCCTCAGAATCTGTCACAGTGGTGGCTTGTTTTCTAGGATCTGGTATTTACCGCTACTAGGTGATTTTTTATTTTGTACATCAAATATATATAAGTCATTGCAAATCTTTTTGATTATCAAAGCTGTGTAGCTAAAACCCCAAGGGCACGAAGGTGTAATAAATGTTTACTGAAGTACACATTATGAGAATCCATTTTCAGGCACCAGAAAAAGTATCTGAAATCACATTTTTAGTCTTGTCTTTCAAAACTTCATTTGGAATCCAAAGTAATTTTTACGCCTAAGAAGTTCTTCAAAACCCGTTACACAATTCCCTCAGCTACAGAGACTCTTCTTCTTACATAAGTTTTGCTTCATAATCATGATCGAGATGCACCTAATAGATGAATGCTTTTGTTAAACTATTATATGCATCTGCGTCAAGAGCTCGTCACACTTGCAATGCTACTTAAGACCTAGAATTCTTAGACCTACTAAATTTATGCGGCAAGAAAGTCACAGATGTTTCACAATGTATATAAAATTATCTCAAATTTGATAACAGTATTAGAATTATGAAAAGTTACCTGTTTATTCCATTTCCAATCAGGCCCCCGAACAACTCTGCAGCCGACACCTGTACAGTACGTCCCAACATCCTGTAATTCGTTTTGAGTAACATTCTCTCGATTAGAACGCATCATCTCGCGCCTCCAGCAACCAAGAGCTGATGTTGAAAATATGTTTTTAAGAGTGAACCTTTGTTGATGAATTTAAACACAAAACCTCGACTTCGAGCTATTAACTTCACCATAGTTATTATGCCTTTCTGACTTACCATATGTACTGTTCATCCACACAAAGTAGTCTGTTTACACAGGAAGGGATGTTAATGTTGCCGTATTTGTATTCGTATGAATACAGATTTGGTCTGGTAAACCCCGTTCCATGCTTGACAATTGTTCATCAACGCACAGTTTTTTGCACCTCTCCAGTGACTTAATTATATTCTGAGGCACTGAGCAATATAATCCGACATTTTATCTGGCATTTAATGAATGCATTACCTAAAGCATGACTTCGCAGAAACAAGTGGTTTCCCTGCTTAAAAACGTCTTTGGTTAAGTGAATGCGCTTATCTGCAATTTTTTGGCTTGATTTACCAGTAACCGAGTAGAAAACTTCACAGATATTGTGGATTAGTAAACATTCAGTTTGAGTGACGGACAAACTAAGATCATTTTGGAGAAAGTGTACGTCGGCGGTACGGCGGTTAGGACTGTCACCGACCATGCAAATGGTCCGGGGTTCGATCCCCTGTCGACGCACACCTGACATCAACTGATTGGCCTTCAAAATTTGTGCTACCGATATCATATGCTGAAAATTCCATAATAAAAAAATGCGAATAGCCCCACTAAAGAAGGAGCTGTTCAGATCATGCATGAATTACCTAAGTTGATGATAACTTTATGGAACCTTATCAGACTTTTTGTGAAGAAACATGTATCTACTATACCCGCAGATGGAAAGTACTGACAGTGTCACAGGATTATTATCAGAATTATCTGAACATCTCAAATCTAATTTTCGAGGGACAAGCACATTTTTAGTGCTCAGCTTTCCTTCTATCACAATGTGATTGCTCTTGCATCATCGGCAACACAATTTAGAAACAAATTATTACAAATAAATAACCCTTACTTCGAAACGAGAGTACAGACTAAGCTTTGATTTTCGAAAGGGGTGGAACAAATACTTCTCCTCGCGGGTAACTGTGAATGGTGAGTCATTTGAGTTGTTGTGGTGGTAGAACAGGCACCTCTAAATGATTAGGTGATCGAGATACTTTTTTGGAGGTCTGTACTGTAGCTGTTTTGTTGTAGGGGTTTATTGTCATTGGAGCAATAAACAATTCTTGAATCGACAATTGCTTTTCTCATATCTTTTGTTGCTTGTAGTATTCATATTTGCGTCGATAGTTCTTCTGCCAAATGCACCAGCCTCAAGATCCGTGAGTTGAGAGTCTTTAAAGGTGATTAATTTACAGTCACATATGAAGAAAGTTTGAGGAGAAAGTGGCGAAGGGAGACCAATAAAAGAAAAGTGAAATCAAAACAACGAAATGAACTAATTGCAAGAAGAACGTCGTTTCCTACCTGGTTAGGTCAGTGCTTGAGCCATTCAGTTGCAAAGAATCATCAGCAGAAGCCAACATAGTGTGCATCGGCCTCATTTGACGCTTTCAAGAGGGACTGGTGGATATTCCAACTATGTCCAAATGAGAACACTGCTTTTTGCTATTTTGACTTGTGTTAATGCAATCTACTGGCTGTTATTAAACGTAACACCATACTTGCATGCAGAAGTATTAAAACTGTTCGCTATATACGTACCCTTATTAGGAGTAGGACTTGGGTACCATCTGATCAGATTCTTTACCTCCACTCATAGGCTACTGGACGTCGTTGAATACATGCTTCAGGAAATGGTTTCCCCCAGAAAGTTATTTCTTCTTGAGATTTCGGTCACGCTTTGTGTTCTTGCCCTATTCGTTTGATGACTTCGCTAACTAGAAAGACCCTGGCTTTTTATTACCAGTCTTTTGTTCAGCCTCAAACTAACTTATTAAAAAGACTACCACAAAAAATCAGTTTAAGAACTGAAGTTTTAAGCCCCAGGCTTACCTTATTCTCGCATGGAGACTTTCAAGTAATGAATTTCCTACACACATAATCACCTTCTATGTCTAATCAAAATATTATCTTTCAGGGTAGCGTTAGCAGACAACTGCTTCACTTACAGCGCTTAAACAATACCTGCAAGGTATCTGCGCTTAGCATACCCGTTATCCTCCTATGGGTTTTTAATATGTTCCTAATTAATAGTGTGGTGAGAGCTGTCTGAGAACAAGCCAAAACCGTAGACAACAATTTACGCCAGTGTTACGTCCGGAGTCAGGGTCATGAGAAAAACGATAACAAAGCTTAACTTTGAGGACCTGACGTGTGCAAGTGGGATTCGCAAATATATGGCTTAGCTTTCTGAGAAATGGTCGCAAGCAGTACAGAATAACCTTCAGCGAGAAAACAACCAATCAGAAGACGTTGCTTCTCCATTGAAAATAATGTCAATAAAAATCTATAAATATCTCTTGGTTTTCTCAATAAACGATCTGTTGCCTGGCCCTCGTTACAACTGGCTTCTCTGCCTGAGAACAGTACGGATCTCATGGTCAACTGCGTTTGAAGGCAGGGACGTATGGAGCTTTTTATGGGACTTCGAGGCCTTTGCCGAGTTGGTGGGTGTCAAGGAGCAGGCGGCGAAGGCGGTTGTGCTGGGGACACTGTTGAGAGGCCGAGCGAAAGCTACAAATGACAGTTTAGAGAGGTCAGGTGACACAGCGCTGTTATGTATGAGATATTAGGATCTTGTAGACTACGAGCGAATCTAACTAATGCGCTGGCCAATCTGTCCTAGTCACACGTCAACAACAACAAACAATACCGCAGGGCACGCAGGACAAAGAAAGAAGACTGGACGTTGATACGAGAGGTTTTACTGTCTCTAACAGCAGTCGAAAAGTTAAACAAAAACTCCGTATTTATACAGTTAGGAAAAACAATGTCACATTTTAAAAATTTTAACAAACCATGGGAATTCAGTAATTAAAATCAATAATCACGCAGATGCGGGAAATCAATGATTATGCTAGTGTGGGAAATAAATAACGAATATTAATGAGTTACCTGTGTATATATCACCTCCCCTTTTAAAAAGAATCTTGCAAACAGTTTAGTATCTTTTTTGCTTGGGGTCGATTTGGAAATGAACTGTTTGTGTTCGTTTGTGCTGGGATCGTCGGCTGGGTAGCATCTCTTGTTTTGCTTCTGGTTTGACTGGTGGTATTTTGAAAGTTTCCAGTAGTAAATCCAGTGGCAATTTAGGTTCTTGGGATGTAGTATATCGACGTCGTATCTGATTTTTATGTCTTATCCACCATTCATCCCCAACTTTAACCTTGTACATTAGAGTTCCATGTCGACATTCTGTCAAGCCTTCGACCCATTTTCTGTTCCTCGGTCGATAATCGCGCACATAGACGGCATCACCCTTGCGGTAATACTTCAGACTATTTCTTCGTTGATGTGACGAAGATGGTAACGTGGAGTGGTGATGAGTTCGTAGCGTTCGACCCATTAGAAGTTCTGCAGGGCTTTTCTTCTGTTCTGCCAGTGGTGTAGTTCAGTATACAAAAAGAAAGTTTTGTATTGCTTCCGGTTTCTCCCCTCCCCCTGCTTTCAACAACGCTCGTTTGAAGGTGTCGACAAATCTTTCTGCCTGACTGTTGGATTGAGGGTGATAAGGTGGCGTCCGCACGTGTTGTATACCGTTTCTCTTGCAAAATTCCTGGAACACTTGTGAGGTGAACTGACTGTAGATGAATGTTGATTAAACGCTGATATTCTTCACCGACGTCTTTCAAAGTCATCCGTGGATCTTGTTCCAGACGATTTAATAGGCGTATATCAGGAAATTTGGGAGACTGCAAACCACAAATGAAAATCAATACCTTGAACTGGTCTTCTGAGAGCGATTTCAATTTAAAACGCTCACACGTGCGATTGACTATACCCAATTGAGTATGGATATCATCATTTTCGTTCAGAACTAGTTTCATGCAATGATATCGAATGTTGAATAAAGATCTCTGATAACCGCCTTGGAAGACATGGGTTGAATTACTGGTGTCGGAGTTTGACGGCATAACAGACAGACAGCTAGCAATGCGGCAGTTCCGTTCCATGAAGCTGGGATCTGATGGAGATCCTTTAGAGTTGGCGGTGAAATTGGCGAATCTACTTGGATGAGGAATCAGAGATGCAGTTGCTGACTTCCCAGTTTATCAAGAGTGTTCCTGACCACGTTTCTCAGCGATTACAGCTAGTTAACGCCATGCAACCAATGGACATATGTGAGCTGGCGAAGTGGACCAGACAGCTACTGAGCACAACGGAAGCCGCGATGGAGCCACCGAAGTCGAAAGAATGCGGGCAGAAAATTAAAGCGTTGCAGAGTGAAGTGGCGATGTTGAGGACGAGTTATAGGAAAGACCGATATCTTGAATGTGGTGAGCTGGGCCTTTGGAGGAGGTACTGCCCAGAAAGGCGGAAAAGAAAAGATTTCAGACAGTATAATATGTGTTCCTTCTCTCTTGTAAAACTTGACGTTATTTTTTTCATTATTCTTTTGAGTTCCGAGTGGAACATAGGAATTCAACAACACTCCTCCACTTTGTTCTGTTTTCTGCCGTCTTCTTCAGCTGGGTCCACGACTGACCAAACTCTCTTATCTCTCCCCCAGATGATCTCCTCCATGTGACCCTAGGACGACCCACTCGTCGCTTCCTATTTGGATTACACTAGATGTCCTGGCGTGCAATGTCATTCGGTTGCCTCTTCAATGTATACCTGATCCATCTCCACTTTCTCCTGGATATTTGTTGGGCGATCGGCTCCTGGTTGGTGTGTTCCCATAGTTTCTTGTTGCTTATTCTTTCGGGCAGTTTGATCTTCAGTATGGGTCGAAGGCAGATGTTGATAAAAACCTACAAACTGTTGGAAATCCTTCTCATGACACGCAGTGCAATTTTCCGACCCGTATAGAAGAGTTGGCCGACTTCACATTAGTGTTGAAAATGCTCATCATTTTCCTTATGCTGTGTGGAAGGTTTCCAAACTGGT